TGTTTTTCACCGTTCCTAATTGTTTGTCTACTTCTGTATCGCGACTAAAGTGCTCAATACTTCAGTCAGCGATGACCGTAATTGTAATCTATTGTATTTAGAATCAGTTCCGATTTTGTTTTGCTCTTGATTGTTTAGCCGCCAAGGCCTTCCGCAGTAATGAGAGCGAAGCCAACAACTTCCAACTTCCATTCACCAATGGATGTTATTTCATTTTTTTTTCAAGACCATTTACCTACTGTTGCCTCCTGTACTGACTTGTCTGATCTCGAAGATACTTGTTGTTTTTTTAGCTTTTTTGATTGATTTTTCTTGTTATTTAGTTGTCTAGTTTTAGCTTCTAGGTTCATTGACCATGTCCATTTTTTTAAACGCTGTTTTAATTGTTAGTCGACATTTTTCAGGAACACACCAGGCTTTAAACGTATATCCTATGGACCGGACCTAATTGTTTGTCCTTGTTTGTGTACAACCGGCAATGCGGTCGCTACTCAAGTTCCTTATGTGCGCACTTGTTGGTACCTGAGCTGGCTTGTTAGTGTTCCTGTGCGCTGTCAAGGTTCGGATCCATTTCATGTCGCTTGCTGTCCTGCTATCTTAAATCGAGTATTATTTATCTGATAATTTACTTGCATTTTCTCATTTTTGTTCTATTGTGATCATGATTATTTTATTCTCTAAATTTGGACAACTCTAATGGACTGTTTCTTTTATGAATTATTATTCAATTTTCATACGTTCATTTACATTTCATGTCGTCGTTTTTTACCGATTAGATTTGCTTTTGAAATGTGTTACTGAAGTCGAAGATTGTTACCTCTATGCAATGCAAAATTTGAGCTAAAAGTTTGTAATCAGCATGGTATTATTTTATATGGTTAATATGAATATAATTTTATATTTTGAATAATTCTATGATGCGTTTATCCATTAAATGAATGCTCTTCTTTTTAATTTGTGTTCAAAAATTGACTTGAACGTCATGAATTTCAACTACCCGCAAGTCTTGAAAATGGTTACAATCCTCAATAAAAGTTCACGCGCAATATAACATAGCGAAATATTTGGTCGGGAATGCCGGAAAGTGGTTTCTGGCGAGTTATTTATGTGTTTTGACGTTGCATTTCCAAACATCCTTTCTCTACACTAACTTTGGTGATCGCTTGTTCCTTTCTGTACACAAATTTTTGCATCGAAGCTTTCTTTATTTGTAAATGTCGCTAGGGAATAAACTGCGTTTTCTGTATTTGAAATGCTCCCTGAATTGAATGGTTTCTCAGAATAATTCTTCAAACTTTATAGTTACCTTCAATAAAAATCATGGTTTTTTTAATGTGCATTGAAGCTTACATGACGAATTATTACCGTTTGTGTGGAAGAGAGCGCATTTTCCACGCTTGAAATGTCCACAGCAATTTTGATTCGGTTTTTCTGCTCGAGAGCCAAAACGAATTTTAAATACTTTGTGGTTTACCAACGTACCTGCATTCTATGTTCACGTTCCTTTGTCATTTACAAGTGTGTCCAATCACTTAATTATAAGCGTTTTTACTCCGATAATTGCTAAATAGCTATTCATCATCAATTGTCAAGTGCTTGAAATCCTATGATTCGACAACATTGGTCGTTTTTTCAGTCGTTTCGTTTCACAAGTTGAGTGAATATATTATATTAATTGATTTATATACAATTCATGCGTTATGTAATTTAAAAATCTCATTGTTCCCTAAATAAAAAACATGTATTACTAATGCGTGAAAATTAACAAATTGTTATGAGTATATGTATTATACCATTCAAGTGAGTGACGAAAGTTGATACGTTCAATGGATTTTAGATATCTTGAAGATTTATCATGACCTGAATCGTTTGAAGACTGTTACATGGTAAAAATAAAACTTTCGTGATCGAGTGTCATCAATAAAACTTGATTTTGATTTGTTTATATTAGCTGTAATTTATTCGATTAAAGTACTGTATTATGAGCATCGTATTATGAGCAAGATCTTGTGCCTGGGTGCGTGTATGATGTAACTGAGCGTAATAATTGCCTCTCATTTGAGATGTTGGAATGGGAGGTAGCTACTCATCAGCACAAATGCTGGATCATTATCTAGTGTTGTCACCTCGAGCAAATTAACGCTCAGTAGGTGCATTTGTTGGCGCCGTATTGCTCGTTGCTTGTGGCCCAAGTGGCACTAGTCGTCATTCATTAGCGCTCAGAGGTCCTCTGAACGTCTTCGGGTGTGTCTCTCCTTCTCTCGCCATGTCCAAGGTGGTGGTGATAATACAGGTAGTGAAGTTGTTTAGGTCTTGTTGCCGCACTATGACTTTCGACAATGTTCAGCGATATTCTGCTACTTATTTTGAAACAATATTCTAAAATAGTCTCAAATGGCTGCTGGTTATAATTCTTCAGTTGAATTTATTCTCATTTCTTATGTATTGATTTACCATTTCGATCAATGTACGTGGTACAGTCAATAATATCTATCCATCGGATGAATCATTTAATGGACGACTTATTGATAACATGAGATGCACAACGAGAATTTATATTTCTGACATCAAGTCAATATTAATATTAGTAGACAGGACTGAATTTCGTTTCCTTTTAGTCCGCATGATTTAATTCATTAATATTCTATTCATTTCTACGCTCCAAGGTTCAGCTCAGAGAAACTTGATTAGATTTCGGCCGAAAATTTGTCGAATCGAAATCTTCAGTGGCAGTAGTACAATCATTGTCTCTCGTACATATTCTTGCAATGTGTCAGTGCATCATAGAATAAGGTTTACAGTTTTAGGTTTTCTGGTCTATCCTCTCGCCATCCCTCGAACTATTTGTAAACGAATTAGAAGTCTTGGATTAGAAGTCTCATTACGTGTTGAATAAACGAGTGTTTTGGCCTGAACGCACACAAGCTTGGCGGGAGGTCGCTCATTGAGTTGTTGGCAGGTGTCTTGTAACTCGCGTGGCGTCACTAACCCGACATGTACCTCGAGCTGTCACCCGTCACCGTGTCGTAATGTCTGGCGAGCCTCTAACTTATTACCGGTGTCACGAGCTTTGAATGCCTCGTAACTTCTGCTCGTCGCTTACCTTTCCTGTACAATGCAAGATTCCCGTGTATACTTTGCTTGTATTACTAGCAACATACATCCACAGTGACGCTGTTTAGTAAACATGTTCAGTAGGGTTTCTTTTAAGATACACTTGCAGTGTGCGTGTTTGATAAATTTATTCTGTTGTGTTACAGGCAACACATTCCTTCAGTATCGCTGCTCAGTAGAGCCGTATAGATTCAGCTGCCGCGCGTAAGCCGTATTTATTTAATGTTTTGCTGAGAAATATTCTTCTCCTACTTGTAATGCTTACAAAGAGCCGAGTTTGAACAGCTCTTTGCCTGTCCACCAACCAACTTGATTAAAATGTTTAAAATATCAGTTTTAATCGCATCAGTTACTGAGTTTGTCTTTTGACCTGCTTACTTATAATATTTTTTTGTGGCAACGTGTTATTATTTGTGTTACATTGTGAAGACTGGAATAGTTTTAATGTTTTTCTGTAGCAATTTAATCATTGTAAAATTACCTTGATGCAGTGCTCTCTAAACATTTTCGATCATCTTTGATCCTTTGACTAATAATGGTATATCCCGTCCCATCTGTTCGTGACGCACAAATAAAATATATTCACTTATTACAATAAAAGATTCTCTGAATTACAGCATTTATTGTGATTAAATAATGAATCAAAATTAATAACATCACTATGAACCAAAATCCAGGATTGAAAATAGGAGTACCGAACGTCATCAATTGAACCATAAACGAACAGAAAAACTATAGTAGTCGTGTAATAAAGCAGTGCTTACTTTAAAATCTAGTCTAAAATATAAGCAAAAGTAAATTAAAACACAAATCGGTCATATTTCGCCGAGATCATCGCATCTGCTCCAACGCTGAGTATTCGTTAATTCTCTTTGATTGATCAGTGTCAGTCGATCAAACTTAGGGAATTCAAAATCTGAATTCATTATTAATCGCGAGCAAGCAGCCATACAACCAATGCAGCTACACAAATCGTCTGCAGCATGCGAACGGAATTGCGTTCAAACGAGACTATAGTGTGGGTGCTCTTGTTTGTGGACGTGGTTGTGGCAACTGGAAACTAATTCAATAATATGCTAGCCCCGTACCGATGCTGGAATTGTATTATTCTATAAACACGCATACAAAAGATGTTGGCGCCAAAGTTGCAATTGAGGCTGCATAAAGTGCACATAACTTCAAGGCAGCAAATTAATTGGTAATCTTCTTCGGACGCTGGGCTGCCTTGCATTTATTCTTCTGTTAGGTTTTAGCAACTGTTTTAACAATAAAGTCGTAATTCCTCAAAAAGTCATTAATGTTGCCCGACCAATAAGAATGCCAGCAAAATGTGGGTGAGCTCCATACTCCGTGTTCTTTAGAGTGTGTTACGATTTTAGTTTCCTTTTCTTCTCGTCAGTAAAGGAAAATTTGAAATTAGCTTGAAATTTTATAGTTTCTTGCGTTTTCAGTACCATGACTGTTGGACGCTTCCCTTAGTTGTAAAACCCTGCCCTGATGGATGGAAGCAATGAATTTTTTTAAACCATCTCGATCAACTTTGATTGCTGCTCCTGATAATCATTACGGCATTATTGCTTGGCGTTACGGTACTTATTAAAGGCTATTTTATCAGGTATGAATTATTCCATTCGATTTCCACACATGTACAATTATTTTTTACCCGACTTTCTCTCTAACTTATGAGTCATCGGTTCATTTACTTATGGTATGGTCGTATTTTATCAGACAAGGAATTGTCGTTTAATTTACCTTATTTACAGACAAAATATTAGGTGAAGGCCATTTCAAACACTTTCTCACATACCTCATGTATTAAATAAATTTCCGAGCTCTTGCGGAATGTTTATGATATAATAACGGATAATTCATTGCTTTTTTTGCAGACGACGGGCAACATTTACAGTTTCTGCGAGGTTGGCCTGAAGATCTCAGGCACGTCGCCTGCCCTGGGCAGCGCCCTGCTGGAGTTCGAACAGCGCTCGCTCACAGCCATCCAGTCCACCACCACCGCCGCCCACACCGTTCTCTTCCTCGGCACGTCCGATGGCTGGCTTATTAAGGTGAGCTTCTAATAATCTCATCGTGAATTAGAAATGGAAGGTGAAAACGAAACAATAAAGGCTGTATTAACTTATATTCTGCTTCTCATCACTGTTTTTCATAAAAATGAAACTTGAATAATAGTTAAATTTTTATAACACGCTACTTTGAGTTTGAATCACTTCGTGAAATGAAAGTCCTATTGTATTTGAAAACTGCAATTATACAGCCTTTTTTATGTGATAAAGAGCCTTCGTTTGCTACATCGTTGCTCAACGAATACCATGACGTTTGTTACAAGGAAGATAACTTGCAATCCTCTCCGATGAACGTCTATGGCTCTGAATGTTGAATTTTTCACGGGTTCAGTCTTCTATTCTGTCAAGGCTTGTTGCTCTGTACATGGTGTCATAGAGACTGACTGTCTTGTTCGTCTTCGTCTCTGTCCTGAGTTGTCCATATTTACTTCACGGACGTACGTCTTGCTGTTCTGTTTTTAGATGTCATGTCGTGGCTGTTTGGATTTGTACGCTTCTCCGATCTGTCGTTAGTTATTGCCTTTTGCTCTATCAGGAGACGCTGCTGTTGCAGGGTTCTTATCTCGACACGCTTGTCGATATCCTTCCCTGGCCTGTGGAGGCTGATCTCTCTTGAATGCCTCTTGTCGGACGACCATTGCTAGCAGGCTACAGCTTTGCTTTCTTGCTGCAACAGTGAATGAAACTGTTACTCCAGAGAGGCAGTGTTCGTTGTGTGGATAGAAAAAACATTTGGAATGTATGCTCCTGGTCGCATGCATCGACTATTTTGGTTTAAATCGATCCATTGAGCAATTGGAGGTTGACGGTCTGAGAATTTAGTTTTCAAGTTTTAATTTAATTTTTTCCTTTCAATTGATTTTATTGACATTTTCTCTGTCTATTCTCATTTCTCTCTTCACGATTTAAGTAAAGGTACTGTTGACACTCCTTGACTCGCATTCCTTCACTGGCGGATCAACATCCGAACGATCAGTGCTCGATTTATTGGTCTTTCGTTGCAATGTTGCATCGGCGTTCGAGCAGAGAAGAGCGACGGGTGAGCGTATGTATGTTGGAGGTGTTGGTGGCGTGCCAATGTCGCACGACAAGGTGTAGCCTGCATGCATTGGTCTCTGGTTACGAGATGTGTCGATTGTAAATCGTCCGCACCTGACGACGGCTCGATGTACGTACGCTCCAAGGCTGCTTTTATGCCCCGGCTCGCTGGGACAACCGATGTCCCCGCTGAGAAATTATCAGAGAAGTAGAGACCAGTGATCGTCGGCCTGTGAATTGACTAGATTATTCGCCTGAGACTTGCTGTGTTGTGTGTGGCATCGTTGCTGTGTGATTTGACACAGTGGATCGAACTCGACATCGGTAGAATGAATTTGCTTGTTAAAAATACGATAATAATTTTCCTCGTTTATGATAATTGTAGCTCTCTAGTTTCAAGTGTGCTCATCTGTTAACTATTTCTCTAGGAGCGATGGTACCAGCATTGTTTCATCGTTTCACTCATGAACCATTCATTCTGAATGGCAGGAAGGAAAGTTTTTTTTGTATTCAAAGCAACTGTTAAAGCTGTGGTAATAAATGCTGTGATGTAGGTATAACGCGAGCATTTACAAGTTGTTGTAACAAAGAACTTCTGAAGAAATATTACATATTACTGTGCAATAATAGTATATAATCTCGCCCTTCTCGTCTGCTCGTCGTTGCGATGCATTCGCTGCCTACATCTTGACAGATTTTTTTTTGTCATTGTGCAGTATTTGTTTGATTCCTCAAGCGGCTAAGGATTCCTTATAAGATGCATCAGAGTGCCGCGCGCTCTTTGCTTCTGCATCTGATCCGATTAGAAAGTTACGGTATTTGATTTGAGTTGTTTATTTGCTCAGCTCTGGGCTAAGAGAGGACGACTGTTTGAAAGGAATGAAAGCTTCAAAAGCGTCCCTTCTATGCAAACGCGCATTTTATGTTACGCTGAAGTCGACTCAATGCCTGCCTCTTTTGTGTGTGTGTGTTTGTGTAGATTCGAATTTACTAAATACTTATAAGTGCCAACTTTATTCACTTGCACACATTCAATGTCTAATCGATAATTGTGTGCATCACTTCAAAGATTTCATCCATTTTGTAAACATAAAAATACTACCATACTGCTATTGGAATATAAACGTCAGGTAAAGTTTCTGAATTTCCTTAATGTTTCCAACCATTGCTAGATATTTTATATAGTTCAAAAGTTTCTATAGTTCTCTAATGATAACTAATTCGTAAAGAAAACAAGCTCTGAGCCGTTTAGTAAAGTCGATGATGTATGCTTATTGTCACTCATACCTCCAAGTCATAGTTGTTTGTGAGAAGTTTTCTAGGAATTTCTCCCGCTCACCTGCCCTTCCCTCCAAGTTCTCAGTCGATGTATGTAGGGAGGGAATTCTTTTTAAGGTGCGACGACTCATGGGCTCTTACGAATACCTGCGAGGCCTCTACCTTTGATGGAGATTCGTTTAGTGGAGGCCAAACGACCCTCTCAGGCTGCGATAGGCGTTGTTAAATTTGCTTGCCGCCGCGCTCATGCCGTTTCTCATTGGATTTTCTAAATTTTTTCGACGCGCTTCGTGTTTTGTGCTAATTGAAATTCCCGCCGCCGATAGCCACTTTGAAGTTGCCATGAGCTAGGCAAATGTTTTTCATTGAATATATCAGGTGATAATTATTTAACGAACTTAAATGATGTTACCTACTGAGATTTATGGTGTTGGCAAGAGATTATTTTACGCGTATGTGTAGGTAGTAGTTTTAAGTAATCATTAACCATTAAAGTTTCCAACAAGCCGGTCATCTCCTTGAAGTTAGTTTTTCATTTTTGTTTGTCGTTTTCTCCACTCAATGTGAAATAAGTATGATGTTGTTTTCTTTCATTATCTTTTGTATCTCAGGGAGAAGTAAACGAAGTAAAAATTAAAATTAAGACACGACATTTTCCACGCACAATTGGAATATTCATTTCATTGTTCACTTTTAATCGAACTGAAGCATTTTTGATGAATTGGTTAGATACTAAGCGGACTGTTATTTTGACCGGAATTCGTAGTCAATATCACAATTACTTTCTTGAACATGATTTTCATTTAAGTTCAGTTCTTATACACTTCATGTTAGCATTAAATTACCAAAGCATCCTCTAATGTTTTCCTTAAAGTCAATTTGGCATTCAAAACAACCCTGATTCCACTACCCGTCCGTCTTAATTCTAATTACTTTTGGCAAAGCTTTTAATTCATTTCACATGAACCAGTGCCCGCATTTGAGGTCAGGCATCCCGCTGGGGCGTCCATTGAAGCCGTGGGAATATTTATCCTCTTCTTTAAGAAATTATTCGTTTTTGTCCTTTGCCTCCAAACAGACGCTGAGCTGCTGCGCTCTGCGCTTCACTGACTCTTCAAAGAGATTCACGGTCACTCCTAAACAGATTTTAATCTCATTGGATGCACGTGAATAGAACTAAAATATTAAGTTCATGAGACTGACTGGCTCTCTATCTATATATCTCCTGCTCTCTCTCTCTTCTCTCCCTTGCATTCCGACTCAAACTGTGTCGGAATGATGCTTCATTCCGCCTCATCGTCGACAAATGGATTATTTTGCCCGGCTTGTATACTGTCAAGGAGAGATGAATCAACTCCTCCCTTTGATGAGGAAAGTCGTAGATGGCGGCCATCCTCATACGTCGGTTCCTGAGATTGTATGTAGTGTCATTAAATATTTTAGTCATGAGTTGCTCAATAATGGGGTCGAATGGAACTTAATATGATGTTCGTGTACGTTTAGTTCTGATTCCGAAGATTACACAGCGTACAGATGTCTGCTGTAGTTTTTTCAAAATAAATATTTTCCACGCATGAGGCTACATTGATTTATTGGTATTTTAAATTCTTGCTTTAAACTAGATTAATTTTATTGGCTGCCTGTTGAGTTTAATTGTTCAAAAGCCCAAAATATATGTACTTTTCGCGACCTTTGATCGAAGACATATTCCCATGAAACAGGAGCATATTTAGATGAAATATTGTAAAAATGAAATTTCATTAATTGATTACGACCTGTTAATTTGAACTGGTAGTAAATACATTTACCGCTACTGCTGTCGTCTATTTTACTTCTACAGGACATTCGTGGAACGTCCTTCGGCTGACCCATGTTGTGTTCATTTCTGATGGAGCGCCTTGTGTGTTTTTCTGCTGCAGGTTTTCCTTAAGACGTTAATACTCGGGACAGCCGTGTTTTTTCGGAGAGTTTTTGCCGTCCCGATGTCCGGTGGCAATCCGATCAGAAGGCCATTGAGAGATTAGGTGAGGGCGACGCTCGGTTTACTTAGGTAGGCCCTAGAATTTCCGTGCACGGCAGGAATGCTGCGCGCGGGTGCTCAAGATTATCGACTTCTATTATGCGCTTCATTTGTTAGGCTTCGTGCCTGAGCTGCTTGGTTTCTTCCCAGCCTCCGGTTTCTTTTAATCTCCGGTTTAGATTGGCTGAAATTGCGGCGCTGTGACACCCGTTGCGCGCTTGATAATTTCATTTGACCTCAATCATGATTGTCTTCAGGAGCAAACATCTGTTGCCATCTCCGCCAATTTTTATCATTTCATTTGCGTAATCAGTGATGAGGTAAAGAATGATTTTTTTCATTTTTTTTACTTGAAACTTGCAGAAGAATTACAGAAATGATGCGCATTTTTTGTTCCGATCTAGAAATGAACAATTGGACGTACTGCCTAATTAATTACATTTGGGTCTACACTTTTAATTCTTTATTGATCTTTCGCATTGCGTTCATTTTTTGGGGTGAAATTTATTTAGGATTATTTGAGTGCGTCCTCAATGAATAATTAATGCCTTTGTACGTCAATTTAATAGTATTGTGATATTTCAGTTAGCATTTTACATATTTTAAGTTCTAAAACTTTCTTGGGGACTGGGTAGCGAGAAGATTA